AGGAATAATCTTTCTTTGTGGAACTTCCTGAACTAACTCCAACTATGTTGGAGTTTTAACTACCTGTAATTACTCAGGCTGCCAGAGAATTTCAGGAGCTTTAATGAACAGTTTTAACCAAAAATTCCCAGTAGTTTTATTTTTCATGTTTGTTTCCAGTGTTCTAATCATGTAAGAGACTTCTCAGGTCTTTGACTGAAGTTACTAATCATATGATGTTACTGTGAATTCTTAATCGGCTTCTGCTTTTTATCTCATACTTGGAATCCCTGAACTGATTTACTTTTTTTACAGATATTTTGATTGGGTTTTGGCAGTACAACCACTTTGTTAGCCAGGAAGCCTGGGACTGTCAGTTCATCCTGTGACTTTTTTTGTAGCATTGTTCCCAAGAACGTCACGTAAATTAAGTGGGCTAAAGGGATCAGCCTGCTCCAGCATTTGAGTCTGCAGTAATTTCTTGTAGAAACTACCAGTACTTCTGCATGAGCATAAGTTTTCCTTCTGTCCCACTGTTTACTGTTTTGCATCAGTTCTGCATGCGTGGTCATTATACAGAGCTAAGGCAACTGAAGCTGATGTAACAGTCTCAAAACAAACAGAAAACCATTACAGAATGGGTGGAATTAATCTTTCAAATCCAAGAGATTTTGTTCATTGATGAGAGAGAACACCTGAAATAACTTGTCCCAGTTTGATTTAAAAAAAAAAAGGGGGGGGGCGAGGAAGAAGAGAGTAGCAACGCTTCCTTTGAACAATCGTGTTGAAATATTTTCCAAGAATTTCTGTTGCAGCCTCCTTAGAGTAGTTGTTAAATATTTTTTACTTCTGTCCTTTCCAATTTTTGATTGACGTCTTGCTGTTGTCGAATACAATTAAGCTTCTTAATGTAGTTGTCCCCTCAAGGATTTTTTTTTCTTGAACAATTGTGAATCTGCGTAGACAAGAATAGTATATAGTGTCAAACTTGAATTATTTTTTAATTTGAGAAGGGTTAGTTTACATGTTAATTAAGAATTTTAGTTTTCGGCTGCTGTATTAGAATGTGTGAAATGTTGAAGCCGTCCAGTTCTAGTGCCCAAATTGAAATAGACATTAAAGTCATCGCTGTGGAGTAGTGTGGTCCTAAATTTCAATACTGTGTTGTGAAGTTGCTGAGAAAATCCTCAAGAATTAGTTTTGAGGTTTTATTTGTTGTTTAAATACTGTTTCTGGTAAACATGAAAACAGGTCACTATTTATATAAGATGTAAACACAAGCTTTGTTTTAAAACGTGTCTTAGCTTTGTGGTAGTAATCAACACAGCTGTTCCCAGAGCTGTCCTGAACTAGACCTATGTATGGGCACGTATTTCCCAGGGTGGGGAGACACACACAGGAAGGGCAGCCAGCTCTGCAGCATACTTATCCATCCCTCCCTCAGAAGCCCGTCTGGTGGTCCCTCACCTGCAGTAAGGTTTTAAAGTGAGCTTTTAGAGGGAATTGTGATTTTTGTTTTCAGCTTGCTCCTGATTTTACTATTATTCTTTTCCTCTATTTTAAGAACACGGACCAGAGATGATATTTTGTCTAGACGTGAAAGATCAAAAGATGTTAGCCCACCCAGCAGATGGTCACCATCCAGAAGAAGGTCTCGGTCCCCCATTAGAAGGAGGTCTCGTTCACCCCTTCGACGTAGCCGATCTCCAAGAAGGCGGAGTAGGTCTCCTCGGAGGAGGTAAAGACACACTGCATTTTTTAATATATTTTGTAAAATATTACTAAAAGAATAAAGATTGCTATCTTATGTGTAAAAAGACGATGCATTTTTTGTCCACATTTATGTGTGCTAGCATAGTTGAATTCACTTTGTCCTCCATGAATTCATTTGTTTTGTTACTTGGAGTCATTATGTACCTTTATGTTTTATGAATGTGTTTTCCTCCTTTCTTCAAAACACCAAACCAAACCAAAAACCCAAACCTCTCTTATTGTTACCAGGGATAGAGGCCGAAGAAGTAGATCTCGCCTTAGGAGGAGGTCCAGGTCACGTGGTGGCCATAGACGTAGGAGCAGAAGCAAAGTTAAAGAAGACAAATTTAAAGGTAGTCTTTCTGAGGGTATGAAAGCTGAACAGGAGTCTTCATCAGATGAAAAGTAAGAATTGATTTCTAACTTGCACTGGTTATCTAAAAATACAGATCCAATGATACGGAGAATGAACTGACATTTATCTTCATGGTGTAGTTTTTGGGTTGTCACGTAAAACCTTAATCATGCTGTAGTACTTGTGATCTTGTCAAATTACTGTTGGGATGATCTGGAAAACTTTGGAGTATGCAAGAAATACCAAGACCTGTTGGCTAGTGGGCAGACCTGAGGGGATGATATGTTGTTTGGTTTCTAAATTCTTGATCTTGTGAAAATATTTGCTCTGTTTCCTCAAGCTTATTGCTTGAGAAAAAACTGTAACAGCTGAAAGGATTAATTGCTATCTGCAAATTGTTTTCATATTTGCTAAATATCTACTTAATCCAATTGCACAAGAGTATGCATTCTTAATCAAATTATCAAGGAAGAATGATGCTGGAATGAAAATGAACAAGTGGGTTTTTTTGGTTTTTCTCTTCAAAAGCAGTTACTGTTAATTGTTTGCAGTTAAAAATGAAACACTCAAAGTCCCAATGAGATACCAAAAGATAAATTTTCTCTGTAAGGAGATGTAAATATACACACTGAGATTTAATACACCTTTGCTTTCTAAGTCATTTGAACAGCTATTGTTTAATATATTGTGTGCTTTCTATGCCAAAGAACTGCATTAGGTAAAATTCAGTAGACAATCTTATGTTTATGATGTTATATAAAAAGTAATTTCATTTTTATAGTCTTGAAGACTTTGATTTGGAAGAAGAGGATGAGGAAGCAGAGATAAGACAAAGAAGATTACAACGGCAAGCAATTGTTCAGGTACACGGTTATATTATTGTGTGGGTTACAGAAACTAATTTTATGCTTTTAGTGTAAAATGTTGTGATAAAGGAAGGCTCAGCCTATTACTACATTACAATAGTAATTCCTATTACTATATTTTTTCCAATTAATTTGTTGTAAATGTTAGTTAAACTTTACACTTCTGTTGTAACAGCATTGCTTTTAAGATGGAAGCAACTCTTCTGTGAGTCATTTTTGTGCTACGGTTAAACGTTCTCTGACAGTCCTATGACATGTTAAAAATGTTCTTCAATTATCTTAATCTGTAGGTTTTCTTTGTAGCTGTATCATTGATATCATAGTGTCAGTGTAGCATTAAGTTACATATCGGTTAACTGGTCAGTTTGTTTCAAGTAGAAGTTGTCCTTGTCCATTTCCAAATCTTCATAAAGCCACTGACATGGGTTCTGTCTTCATGAAAGCAGATAATGTATTCAGTTACACGTGTGAGTTCCCATGAACTACTTATTCCTGCTAAGAAGGTAACAGTAGTGGCAGGTAACGTGTGACTGAGACCCCTGAAAGGGAGCTGTGGCCAAAGGGGATGTAATTCTACAGCACAAGTCGGGTATCCTTTTTTAAAGTTGGGATTTGGCACACAGTTAGAACGTAGTAAGCAAAATGCTGTAGCGTATTTACTTAATATTTGGTTATAAAAACACTGGTTGTAATGTGCTGCTTATTTTAAGCAGCACTAAAAATGCTGTTCATCGTTTGACTCTTACGCAAAGCCCATTGTAAAATCCTTCAGAACTATGAGTTAGCAAAACCATATAAAGTAAACTATTTTTGAAGGCCTTCATTCCCTAAATGGGAGACCTCTGCTTGTATTATTGAATAGTTCAACCTTGATAACTGATTGGTATCAGCATTTATTCAGTTTGATTTTTTTAGCTTTTGTGAGAGGAAGTGACATTTGTATAATTTCATACTACTTGAGTTAAAAAAAATAATTTGTAAAGGTGTTGTCTTGAACTTTTTTAGTGCATCTGTAGCAGATCATTCATTTTTCCTTAAAGACTTCATTTCACGACTTGTGTGCCAGAATGGTTTAGTTAAATTAATTAGATAAATCTCTTGGCACTGACATTTTGTCACACACAACAAAATAGTTAATCTTCAATAAAAATCGGTTTTTATAGAAATGTAAAAGCCTAAAGGAAGAATTTTTCAGTCTTCTTTTTATGGTCTGGGTTGTGGTGCCTTGTAGCAAAACAGGTTTTCAAAATCTGTATCCCATTTGCAAAAAATCTGTTGCCATTAGAGATGTAGGTGATTATGAGAGCACAGCTTAAAGTTTAGCACAAACCATTGAACAGTGAGTATAAAAATGTTTAAATTGTGATAAGCTGTCATGGTGACATTAATAATTAAATTTCTTTTTAGAAATACAAAGGCCAGACGGAAGACAGTAATATATCTGTACCATCTGAACCAAGCAGTCCTCAAAGTAGTACGCGTAGTCGCTCAAATTCGCCAGACGACATCCTAGAAAGAGTAGCTGCTGATGTTAAGGAGTATGAACGGGAAAATGTGGACACATTTGAGGCATCAGTAAAGGCCAAGCACAACCTCATGACAGTTGAACAGAACAACGGTAAGAATCTGAAGTCTCACTGTATAGTGCAATTTATGAAAGCTCCACTCTTAAGCAGAGCACTTCCAAAGAGACATTTTGCTTAGTTTCCCTATATACTTCCAGACTTGGAAGTAGGTGGACTTTTTGGACAGAATTTGAGAAAGTTTCCGTGAATATTATGGTATTTAAAACATAACATTAAAATAAAGCTTGCTTGTTGAGGAGGATGATGCGAATGGAAGATGCTCTCTGTATTTCTAAACAACACAATTCATGCTATAAATTTGGAAGAGTGAAAAACGATGTCTGTCTTTATAGTTAAGAATCACCCTTTTTAACTTCCAGATTTTTCTTTTCACTTATGCGTGTTGTTTTCTTAGAACCTTAATATAGTCCTAGTCTTTACTTTGGGGTAGGTTGGAAACCATACCCCTTTTGTCCCTTTTTTTGGTCAAAGCCACTGCGTTAGAAGAATATAGGTGCGTCTGTAGTTATTTAGACTGATTAAGGCTTTTGAGAGTCATTGCTAGTAAGTCCATTCTGGTGGCATAACTTCTTACTGAAGAAATGCCTATTTCCTCCTCTTCCTCCCTGCACATAATCTAGTGTGCAACAATACTGAAATGAAATACGTCTTGATATAAAACCTGCCTTGCGCCTGCTGGGCCAAAAGGAACGTAGAAAATATTGAAAATCTGCCTTTGGGTTTGGGTTTTTTTTTTGGTCTTTGGACAGTGGATTACTGTACATCTTCCAAGTAGTGAAAAGATGTGACTAGTTTCCGTGTGGTCATACTGGAGCTAGTTTTAACTACTTCAGTTTCTCTTTACAGTTTAATTGCAACAGCGCGCTGTGCAACAAGGGCTGCGAAACCTGCCCGACCCCTCAGGCAATGGTTGGACAGTTAGCTTGCATTTTGTGTCATGCGCTGGATGTATCCCTGGGGGCTAAATATGCTATGTTCTAGTGGATGCTTCTCTTTGAAGTAATGAAGCTGCATCTCTTTGGGACTGGTGTACTGCTCTGTAGTTTATCCTGGGCTTCCCTTGAGCAGTATGTTTTCAGATCGTTCTCCTGCAATGTAGGTGGAAAGAACTCTTATGCCCTTTTCCTTTATTTGCATAGCACAGGTTTAGACTTAGTGTTCTTATGTGTAACAGAAGATGCCTTTTTCCTTTTTTTGTCAGAGGCATGTAGTGCTTTCTAATTTTGTCCACTAAAGTATATGAAAATATAACTGTTAACTATGTAGACATTTTTAAGATATGAAAAAGATGAGTTTTAAAACCAGATCAGTTACACTCAAATCTGGGATTTTTCATATATTGGTAGGATTCTGGGGTGGAGGTGGCTATAACAACAGATGGAAGCAGTGGGTCATCTTTCTTTGTAAGAGCCATTTTTTATTTATATCCTGACCTCATGTAGAGGCAGGATAGTAAGTTGCTAAGGAACTAGTTAATAACTCATTGTAGCCCAGTGCAAGTGTGAGTAACTGGAACTGAAGAAAATTTGAGGAAGTTGCTGGAAGGGTCTCTGTCTTGAGACAATGGTGTAACCTGTCTCCCCATAGGGTCAGGTGGCAGGTCTGTGCTGTGAAACAATGTTGTCAGCATGATGGATGAGAGTTTTTGATGCTGTCAAAAGATTTCAGTCTAGTTCTTTCGTATGAAAGTGGTTGGCTGTATGCATCATGAGACCTGAAGCACCTGAGGTTAACCATTTATTTTTTTCCATTGATTAATACCCTGAAGGGAGTGTCTGTGATTTACCATGGTCATGAAGGTATGCTACCACAATGTGTGTTATGAAATGGTTTGAAGTTTACTTGCTTTCACTAACGTGCATTTAATTTATATTTCTTTGCTTTTATCTTATCAACCAAGTAAAATGTCTTTGGGACTTTAAAGATGATTAAAAGGTGAGAAAGGTATAATCTTGCCCACATCAAAAATGTTTCTCTTAAACATAATAGTTAACATAGACTAAAAGCTACACACGAGGTCCTTTTTGACAGGGTTGAAGAAAACATTTTCCAAAGAAACAACTTCTGCGCTTTACAAGCTTTTTTTTTTTTTAGTAAAATACCTTGTGATTATCAGAAAAGCATGTATATTGAAAATGTGTCTGTTTTTTTATGTATACGCACAGTCATTTTATATTTCTTTTTATACACTTATATAGTCATTATCTGTAGGGATCATGTAAGTATGTACTTCTTGCTTTCTGCCATGTGAATTATTTGAAAGCCATTATACTTAATTTTTCAAGGAGGTGTAAATTTTTGAGCACTTTGAAGAACTTATCCAGTTTGAGTTTTGTATTTCTAGTCTGTAAAATGGTATTTGCTAGAAACAGTAGAGCTACCTGTTTGCCAGCGTTACTGATCTTAGATTATATTGTAAAGATACCAAGTCACGAATTACACTGCTAACAGAGTTATTAGTTTGTTGTCTTTTTCATGTTGAGTAATCTAAATTTCATTGTCAGGTTCAGCTCAGAAGAAACTGCTAGCTCCTGATATGTTCACAGAATCAGACGATATGTTTGCTGCATACTTTGATGTAGGTAATTCTTGGAGATGAATTGTATGATGATTTTTTTTTTGCTTGATTTTTGTTAGTTACTGTCACTTGAGTGACACACGACTTTGATTTGTAAAAATATGTGCAACTGAGTGGATAGTATATTCTGAATCTTTTGATCAGCCAAGGCAGACAAAGGAGTTCTTAATTAATATTTCAGTGAAAGAAAACCTGCTGAAATTAGTCTGAGTTTTACCAGAGTAAGCAATTGGGGAATTCACCTGTTGTTTGAATAGAACCTATAACAGCACACAGTTTGTAAGTTACGTTTTATGTTGCCATGCTGCACTGTTCTAAATATGTGCTTTTTTCAGAGGTTCATTTATGGTTAATTAAAAAGTGTCTATGTAAGATATTTTAATTTGCTAATGATGCTGTGTTGGAGTAACACGGTGGTTTGTTTGGTGGGTTTGGGGTTTGTTTCGTTGGGTTTTTTTGGATGAAGAGGTGCATTTCCTGGTTTTACTTTTGTACTATTCCAGCAGCTTTTCTCTAAATGTGCTGAAGTGGCCTGCAAATCTTGGCAGTCCGGTGACTAGTTTTGAGACTTTACTTGCTGTTCTCTGTAAATCTACCTCGTTGTTGCTGATGCACAACACTGAGAAATAAGTCAAGACAACAACTTTCTTCTTAACTTAGACATTCTTCAGTTAATTCTGGTTTATGGCAGACATAATCTATGAGTTATGACAGAAGCATTGGTGACAAAAGGCTGCCATGGTGTCACTCTAGTAACACTGGTAATTAAAAAAAAAAAAAAATCAAACCCCCTTTGACCTGGAAAAAGATAAATACTTGAAGGATGGGGGGGGGGTGCTTTTAAAAATTTGAAAGTTACAAGTAGGGGCTTAAATGGCTTGTAAGGGAGCAGTTCCCCCCTCCATAAACTGTTATTCAATTGAAGATATTCTTTACTACTCATAGATTTGAATTTGTGATAATGTATTGCCAAATCTGTTAAGAGATGTCAACAGCAATTGTAGTAATTTTATGATCGTAAGTATGATGGTATGAAATCTGTGAAGTGGCATTGAATGGACAGAAATTCAAGGCTTAAACAGTTACATCTTCCCTGTGAATTGCTAAATTTATTACTACAAACATACTGCAAGTAAAAAGTCTTATTCAGATGGTCCAAAATGTGCATGCTAACATGACTTGTATAAATTTCTTCTGGGTATTAATTGAACCTTTGCCTGTTTATGTTTAATAATAGTTCAAGAGTTGGTTGTTCCCATCCTCTTTCCTTGCATCAGTCTTTAGATACCAGTATCTAAACAGCATTTTGTGTTCAGTAGTTTCTCTGTCCTACAAGATAAGTGTGTTTGTACTGTGGAGAGGAACAGTGTTTTGGTAGGAAAAAAGGGCTTTTGATAAGTAAACGTCAAGGAAAAACATAGAGCACACAAGCAAACTGTTACTTTTTATTTCAGAGTGCTCGTCTAAGGGCTGCTGGGTTTGGAAAAGACTTCAAAGAAAACCCCAATCTCAGGGATAACTGGACTGATGCGGAAGGCTATTACCGTAAGTTGTATTTGTTGATTTGCAAGGGCAGCTAGAATGAGGGTGCTGATTGGAAAAGATCCTCACATTAAAAAGTACTGAAACATTATTCTGATGTGAATGCACCACAGTGCCCTCACTGAGTGTGTACTGTGATGGATGAAATGAGCATGCAGGTTTTAACTTCGGTTATGAAAAGACTCCAGACCTGCAGAATCGCAGTTTGTTCCCCATAATTTCCACAAAGCTAGGCGACGTAAAACATGGTACACCATGAAATTAAGTGGTTATGCCATTTATCCTGTTTTTCTGAATTATACAGAATGGTTTATTTTTCATAAAAAAGTTTCACTATGTATGTGACTCATAACTCTTTAAATTGCTTGATTTTATCCTTCAGGTGTTAATATAGGTGAAGTTCTAGATAAACGTTACAATGTCTATGGTTACACTGGTCAGGGAGTCTTCAGTAACGTAGTGCGAGCCAGGGACATGGCAAGAGCAAACCAAGAAGTAGCGGTTAAAATCATCAGGAATAATGAACTTATGTAAGTAATGTTTTTGTTTAATAATAATAAAGCACATGTAACAGTTGGAAGTTTTTCATGATGTGATTTGAATCTCCCTTTGTTTCAAGTGAAGTAACAGATTACAGCTGTGATTCCTGCCTTTTCTGCTAATATGAGCCAGATAATGGGAAGCGCTTGAGGACTATGTATCCACACTTCTTTACAGCTATCACAGGAGAAGGGTACTTGCATTTTCATCAGGCACTTTCTCATTTGCAAAACCGCAGGGAACAGTGGTAGCAAGAAACTAGGTTACAGTTAATTATGAGGCCTGCCCAGCCCTAAAAAGTTTTGAGATGGGAGTCGCAGACTGTAAAAATTTTGTTTTGATGGACCAAATCGATATGGCAGGCTATGGGTTGGATCCTAATCGGTCATCTGCAACTTAAAAAAAGACCTCCATACATCAATTATTTTTGTATGTTCTCTATGTGTTTGCATGTACATAAGATACATAAAAAGGGATGGGACTCTCCCTGTTGAAATAAAAAAAATTTTGAGGTCTTTCCGTATGAGTGGACGTGAACAAGTATGATCTATTAAATTATGATATGTGAGGACTTGTCTATAATATTAATTTTCAGTATCTGCCGCAGTAATTCTACAGACACGTATTATGTCCTCTTCCATTAAAGACAACTCAAATGAAAATCTTTTCCATGCGTTTTACCTCGGAAATTTTAAAAATTGTCTTGCTTTGTGTATACCTGGGTTATTTTGAGTTATATGAATAGGTATCTAGAAAAGTTGTTTTAAAAAAAAGGGAGGGGTGATAAACTATTTCAATTTGGTATGTCATATAGATAATCAGTTTGGGTGTGTATTTGACTCTATAGTCAGATTAGCTTAAAACTTTTTTTAATAATGTATATGGTTAACTACTTTTTTTTAAGAACTAAACTTCTCAAGTCAGTTTTGTTTGAAACCAAAGTGGTGTTTTACAGCAGGAAATCTAATTTTAGCTTTACGTGTGACTAGGAGGGAGGAGGAAAGGATAAGTAGGTTACAAAGGCACAGGGAAGATCAAAGAATTAAACTAACCCAATGTGTAGGCACTGACAGCAAACCACTGTTGTGATTTTATTTTTTTTTTTAAGCTGTGGTACTTTAAGGAATGACAAGACACTTCTCATTTCCTCATAATTATAACTGCGCAAGTGAGCGTCTAGATTTTTAAAAAGTATTTCACTCATTTTGTTTTCTAATCATATTTCTTTGTTTTCAGGCAAAAAACTGGCCTAAAAGAACTGGAATTTTTGAAGAAGCTCAATGACGCAGATCCCGATGACAAGTTTCATTGTCTGCGGTTGTTCAGGCATTTCTACCACAAACAACATCTCTGTCTGGTATTTGAGCCACTCAGGTAAGATGACAAATGTTAGGGGTTCTCTGTAAAAAGTAAAGTACTACTGAGTGATCTTTACCTACCTGTCTGGTTTTGCCTATTGTTTTGATACCTTGTTCTATAGCCAAGATTCAAGAATGCAGGGAACTTAAAAAAAAAATAATCTGGAAGCACAAATCCACAGACTACTGAACTATTTCTGATTTACTTAAACCATCATTGTGAACTTTCTTCCTGGGCAATATTTGAAACAAAATAATGTATTATTAAAGATGGTTCATCTCACCAGTGCTGCTCTTAATGATTTGTGCGTGCGTGTCACAATATTTTTGTTAGTTTTCATAATTCTTTATTTTAAGGGTTTGGATTAAGAACCCAGAGAGGTTCATCAAATTCTGTGTATTCTCTGAAGAGTACATGTGTAACAACAGCCTAAGGAAGAAAATTGTTATAGTGCTTTCTTCGCATGCTCACTTTTTCTTTAAATAATTAGGCTCTTTTGACAGGTTAATTGTAGACACTGTTTTATGATAGATCTGGATATATTAATTGCCTTAGTTCCTGCTTAGCGATATCAGTTGTTCATATCGTAAGTTCTCTGTGTATGTCATATTTTAATTTTTGCCATATTTGAGGTGAAGATAAGTTTTATGCTGAAGCAATGCAAATTTTATGAAATTACTATTATATTTTCATTAATAAGCCATACAACGCATGTGCTGCACACTCTCTTTATAACTCACTTGTACATTATTTATATGCAGTGATATTCTTGTCCTGGAATTGTGGTATTTTTATCTGCTGTTTAAGTCATCAAAAAATCACCTCCTCAACTTGCATCTTTTGCGTACTTCCTTTTTTATTTATTTCTTCAGAAAACGAGTACAAAGATGGGACAGTTGTTAGGAAAACGCCGTTCATGTGCAAATAAATCCTCTCAAATTAATCTTGATTAAAAATGTGTTCTGACCTAAATAAGTCCAGTCTAGTAAGTAATTATACAGTACAGGATAGATCTGATTGACGAGCATTCTTGTTTCGTTGCTGTAGCTAACAGAGCAGTGTGTATGTTAAGTTCAATGCTGCTTTTCTCCAAAAATGTCTAAAGCTAACTAGTTTCGTCAAGTTTGTCTTACAGTTTAAGAGGCCACTATATATTTCTTTGCTAAGATCTTTTCTATTCTTTCTCCCTCTCTTTCTTTTAATAGTATGAATTTACGAGAGGTGTTGAAAAAGTATGGGAAAGATGTTGGACTCCATATTAAAGCTGTGCGTTCCTACAGCCAGCAGTTGTTCCTGGCTTTAAAACTTCTTAAAAGATGCAATATCCTACATGCAGATATTAAACCAGATAATATTTTGGTAAGTACTAAATAATTGCAACTTATTTTGCACAGTCCGTAGTGTAAAATTAAGTATTTGAAATGAATATCATTCTGTTAATTTAGGTGAAGTCAAAATTTACTTTAACTGAAAATGTTAAAGGTTCATGTTTTGGTAGAAAATGCTATCATGGTATAAATAGTAAGAAAGAAATGTAGTACAACATTTAAATAAAATCTTTTATTTAGTACAATCTTTCTCAAACAAACCTGCATCCACTTGTATCTTTTTAGAAAGCAGATCTTCCACAGTAAGACAGTATCCTTTTTTTAGGAGAAATCTTGGGACTTTTTCCATCAGTAGTTGAAAAATGTTCTTGCTTTCTGGGAAATGGAAGTAGGTTGGTTGAGTCTGGATGGAGATTTTGTTTATGTGAATGAGATAATGGGAAAAAGTCCTTAATGCCTTTTTTTTTTCTTTTCTGTTTCCATTAAACATTCTGGTTAGCAGAGAGCGAGAGCTACATCAGAGTAATCAAGCATGTTTCCTCTGGTTTTCTTGGTGGTCATTCCTGTGACAAACTCAGATTTTTATTGTAAATAAAACGTTCTCTTCTTGCCATCACAGCAGTAAAATTTACTACGTAAGCACGAGATACGTGAATAATATGCTGTTTTATGAGTGGTACTCTGGATACTAGAGTTGGAAGTCTAAACTGATACAATTTCAGTATCTGGAATGAAATCCAGGTCCACCAAGGATGTTTTGGTAAGGGAGAAGTACGTGAAACTGACCTTTTTTGTATTTTGTAGGATCTGAAGACATTAACTGTCACTTTCAATTTAAGAAGGTTTTACAGTTTCCTTAGAGCACAGAGAGAAAGGATTGAAATATGGGAAGAACTTCCAGTTTAAAGGCTGAATGTTTTTCTTATCTCTGACTTAAATATGTTGTCACTTTCACAGTGCTGTTGGTAATTCTGTCTACAAATAGTGCTAAGGGATACTTGTGTTTAACTTCCAGGTGAATGAGTCTAAAACGATATTAAAGCTTTGCGATTTTGGATCAGCTTCGCATGTTGCAGACAATGACATCACACCATATCTAGTTAGTAGATTTTATCGAGCTCCAGAAATCAGTAAGTACATTTGGATTGGCTACATGTATCTTCAGGAGTAGCTGGATATACCGGTACTAGCAAATGAGAATTTGACTTGAATTTACTGTCTGTTTGGTCTTGGCAAAACATCACTCTGGAAATATGATGGCAGTCAAAAATTCAGACTTTGAAAGCATGCTTGTGTGACTCTTCCTGTATGTTGGTGGTCAGCTCAGTGAGGTCAGGGAGAAGTCATTCTGGTTGGTTATAGTTATGTTTTAATTTAGAGCTATTGTTCCGACTCCTTGTTTTTTTACTAGCTTTATTCATGCTGATTCGTTTGGGTGTTAGGTAAAAATCTCCCTTTCTGAAACAGGGATACTGTAAAAGTTAAAAGGCTTGCATCCTTCTTTTATGGTGACTTCTTATTCCTAAGAGGAGGAGCACCCATACAGTTTACGAATGAGAATTTTTTCATCTGTCTGGTTTTGCGATATTATATCGTTCAAAGGCTGCCTTTATGGAATTAACTGGACTTGCTCTGTTTCAGTTATAGGAAAAATCTATGACTATGGTATAGATATGTGGTCTGTAGGCTGCACATTATATGAACTTTATACAGGAAAAATACTCTTTCCTGGCAAAACCAATAACCATATGTTGAAACTAGCCATGGATCTCAAAGGAAAGATGCCGAACAAGGTAAGAAAAATAAGTATATGATTTTTAATTAATACCTGAAACTACTGTAATGAACAGTAGAACATACTTTCTTTTTTCTCCCTGAATTCTGTTTCTTATCATATACATCTTCTCTTAACAGCGAGTAAATATCAGGCATCGCTCTGACTGTATAGTTTATATTGATTTAAAATCTTATGAAGTGAAAGTATACAGCTTCTTTTTCGTAGACTAAGTATAAAGTGAAAGCAGAAACCTTCTAAGCACTGACCTGAAAAAAAATACGTAAGTCAATGGAAGATACTGTGTCCTTTTTCAGCTGGTTTGAACTGTGTTTTTTTTATTCAATCTAGACATTTCTTACTGTCCTTTTGATATATTTTTCATTAGTATTAAATTATCCATGTTGCGATAAATAGTAGACATTGATGCTAATTGTGGCATTTGTAAGACACGGAACTTGCCTGAAACTTTTGCCTCTCCCTTGTTTTTCAGATGATTCGAAAAGGTGTGTTCAAAGATCAGCACTTTGATCAAAATCTCAACTTTATGTATATAGAAGTAGATAAAGTGACAGAAAGGGTAAGTCCTCAACGTGTCGACTAACCTATTGCTTTTTTCCAAGCTTTCCTACTATTACGGTCTTTCAAACGTATCTTGACATCTTAACTAAAAATAAGATTTTATAGACTATTAGAATGTCCTTTTGCAGCTAAAAATAAGATTTTATAAACTATGAGAATGTCCTTTTGCAGCAGTATGGACGGGTTACATAGTTATAAACTGGCAACAGAGATGTTTCCTACGATTTGGGAACGTGTTTAAGAGAAACCTAAGTTTAATCTTGGTAGGTACACAGGGTATCTCCACGTAATCTATCCATACATTACTAATAAAAAAAATTCTGCCTTCATTTTAGAGAAGGATGTCCAACTTCAGTATGACGTGCTTATGTTGTAGGAGGTCACTGTTACTTTCGGTATCATTTTAACATAGCATATTTGTCAAGAACCGCAGAATTAGCGGTCAGATACGGGAACTTTCCGCGTGGAACTTCGATGGTCTCAGTGAACTGGGATGTTAGGTTCGTGTATGCAGCTGCTGTTGGCGAAAGATGCAGCCAGGCCTACCCCCGACAGCATTATTTCCGCTCTTTTCCTTTGCCCACGTGAGGATTTATGAGGCCATACAATGACGAAGGGCATCGCTGATCCGATACGAGAACCCTGCAGAAAAGTTGCTGCTGAAGCTCTGTAAAAGGGAGAGGGGGTTTGTGCGTTACTTCTGTTCTACAAGGTTGCCATTTTTGTATTTGTAGGAGAAAGTTACTGTTATGAGCACCATTAATCCAACCAAGGACCTGTTAGCAGACTTGATTGGGTGCCAGCGACTCCCTGAAGACCAGCGTAAAAAAGTACACCAGCTAAAGGACTTGTTGGACCAGATTCTAATGTTAGACCCAGCTAAACGGATTAGCATCAACCAGGCTCTGCAGCACGCCTTCATCCAGGAAAAAATTTAAACCAGATGAAGAAGTTCAAAGGGTTTGAGTAATTAAGATACAAAGACTGAAGAAATTTCACAGCAGTTATTAATGTATATAAACATAAATATTTCCCCTGCAAAGTTGAGGAAGAAATGATACATTTGAATTAACATCAAGGCTGATATTTCTTTTAGAAATGTTAGAGTAATTCTGTTTTGTGTCTTATGTGAAAATTTTCACTGTAGAACTGTTTTAATTGCCAAGACTGCACAGAAGTACAATGCTAATGTATATGGTTGCAGTTCGTATATATTATAAAAAGAAAAAAAGCATCTGTTATAAAAAAAAAAAGAAAGAAAAAAAAAAAAGAGCAGTAATACTGGGTGGTTGATTTGTTTTTAGCAGACTTGGCTTCATTTTTGTCTTTAAAAAATGGCCAGCATAAATGCTGTTTATATTCACATTTTCCTAGGTGTGTGTGTGCAGGCCACAGCAGCATGCCCTTGGTGTAGTCAGTGCCGAAGGGGGTCTGTTCCTTCTTGAGCCTGCCCGCAGGGATGGTCTCCTCTTTTAAAGCAGGTTGTGTACAACTTTCAGTACACTGAAGGTAAGCTAACCCATCAACATCACCGGTGTTTAAGCTGTTATTTTACTGGAACAACTGACAAATGAGAGACAATAGCATTGTGGCAGAATTCCCTGCATGTTTGATAAATGATCTTGTTTTATTTTCTGGCATTGCAACCGTGGCATAGTTACAGCTTCTGTTCTGTTCATCACATTTAAAATTTTGAGAGTGCGCACTTGATGGATAGAGCGCCTTCAGTGTACTGTTTCTTATTACTTTAATTTTTTTAATCAACTTGCTATAGACTTTGTATACATTTTGTTAAATACAGTTCACTATGACATAGAACCAATACTTACAGACGAGTTTTCATTTAGTAATTACATATGTTGGGATCTCATTCGAAAGACCTTATATCTAAAGCATAGATAGACAACATAATGAAATTTTTAACTATTTGTATGTCATTTTGAAAGTGTACTGCTTTATGCTAAAAGTGTTTCATTTGTTCATTGTTTTCATTATTTGTGATCATGTTGTCTTTCAATACAGGCATAAACCTTCCACTCTTGAACAAAGCAGCTGCTTTTTAAAAGCGGTAATTGCTTCTTTACCTTTTATTTCTTTTGTAAATGAAGCTTTTCTTTAAGAAATGTGACTTTAAAGTGTTGTCTCTTGCATAAAACAGTTGACACTTACTTATTGTAAAGTGAAGATTGTTCTGCTGCATGTAAAGTGGACCATGCAGATTTCTGTATGTTTTCAGTATGCATCATTAGATAATAAAGTCTTTTGTGAACAAGGCATTTGTAGCCCTTTTTAAAAGAATCTGTCTTCAGTGATGGTAAATCAGGTAATTCGTAAGAACCACCCCTGCTTTTCCTATTAATCGTTTAATGAAAGGGATTATTAAACGTTATGATCTTTGGGAGAGCTATAGGCTATGTTAATTAGATATATAATTATCGCTGCTTAAACAAAAGCAAAGCAAAAAAACCCTACAGATAGTGTCTGTCTGCTTTCATTGTAATGAAATTATTCCTGTAGGACATGGAATTAAGTTCAGGCTTTAACTAATGTTTGTGCTGTTTTTCTCACTTTTCCTTTTGATGGTGCTGAAAGAGAAAAAGGAAAGCGAGTCACAGGCCACTCAACGCCTACTCCATGGGTCTGATTTGCTGAGACACCAACTTCACCTTCCTAACAAGGTTATTTCTGACAGCATGTGTAGATAAACATTTAGCAACAAGTTAAAACAGCTTGAAGCATTTGAGTCGGTTATGCAGGGTGAGGAAACGAGAATCAAACTTTTCAGGTCCATACTGCTGTTGTAATGTTCTCTCTGACAATATTGAGAAGTTCATCTTTTCATTTTTATTAATCTATTCTGAAAAGCTGTGAAAACCCCACTGGTTTCACGTACTTTGTAATACTTCTTTGAACTAAGAAGGGTTTTTGTATCCATCTAGGTACATAATGGCAACAATCATGCACTCTCAGTGCACTCAAGAATGGAAAAATGACACAAAGCAGTCATTCTGCTGGTGGGGAATACCCCACCAAGGAGGTGTAATGAACTAACTACGAAAACAAGCAGGAGATGGGTGGTTTTGTATGCCTATTTGGAACCTTCAACCTGTCTCTTCTCAATTTATATCGTAAAATTCTTAATAAAAAATAATCTCTCCTTATTTCCACATATTAAGGTATCTTGTTCATACAGGAAATTAAAAAAAATTAGCTTTCACGTTTAACGAAGTACTAGCTGCTTGCTAGTTAAATACAGAAAGTGACTTGCACTCTTAGAACATAGGCAGCGCTTTGGAGGGCAATTTTACACAGATGTAGTAATAGCTTATTCTTTCTGTTGCTTTGTACTTTATTCTTACGATAGGAATATAAAACAGTGAAATGAGTTGGTGATACAGAAACAAAGCAGTAGAAAAGATGCCCCTTAATGCCTACAGAACTGTTTTAAGCTATTCTGGAGAAGCATAAAGTTGCTCGTTTACTTGTTCTTTGTGTTGTAGGTGCAGCTCAAAAGAAGATGATGGCTACCAGAAGACATGAACAAAGGTTTCTGTCCTATAAAAGATATGAAAACTACTCTTCGTGTAGTTCTGTCTTAATCTTTTGGTTTCCAGCATTCCAATTTAGAATTGGTTAACACTGCTGCCGTACTGATAATTCCCGAAACATACTTCCTGTATTAGAATTTGTTACGTAGATATGTGTGTGTTTCATTTCTGATTGAAGAGATTTTTTTGTTGTGATTAAATGTAGGTAAATAAGCATTGCTGTTTAAATGCAGTTTTCTTAAGATGATAGAATGATCCGTGCAAAACCTATAAAATTCAGGATAAAGTCTGCCATTATATTTGGTTAAAATACATGTGTTTTAACTAGTAAATATTTAAGCGGATGATGCACTTTTTTCTTTAACTTCAGCAGGTTCATTATTTATTTTAATTCTGTCAAGCTTCCTTGTTGAGACAGAGACTAGCTGGCAGGGGTTATTCGAGACAAGTGGATTTCAGTCCCCCACCCAGTCTCAGCTTGAGCTGATGCTGCTTGTTGGCAGCAACAGAACATCTCTGGTTCTGGCTGCAGAAGCTTCTGGAATTGAGGACTTTTTGACGCTGTTCAGGAGCCTCTCCAGTTTTAGGCGACACCTGCCCCCGTAGCCTGTGCTCTGAGGAGAGCAGAGCAGCCGCTGGTGCCACTGCAGCCGGCTGAACTCCAGTGGCTGCAGCTCGGTGCGAACAGAACGGCTGTGCAACAGAGTTTCTGTGTTGGAACTATTTCTCAGCTGAGCTAAGAGGGAGGCCAAGTTATCTTTTCCTCCTGTACATGAAGATGTTAACTTGAACCTTCACCTGAGGTCATACATACAGAAAGTTTGGCTAAATGTGTGCTAATTTCTGTTTCCTTCTCCCTCATGGTGACAAGGAGCTTCACATTTAACGTACTTAGTTTGCCAAGCATTCAGAAAGAACAAGATACCGGCCCTATGCAGTTAGAATGTGGTTTTATTACCTTGGTGTATACTACTTTAATTTAAAAACTAAAAACTGTTTAAGAATCTTTGATAGAATATAATGACTCCTTTAAAACCTTTTTAATAATACTTTATCTCCATGCATAGGGTAAGTGGCATTAAACCTCGGAAGAACCTTTATGTGTATATTGACCCGTGCACAGAAGGCAGACCAGTCTGTGATACTACTGGAGATAGAGCGATCTTCTACAGTATGTGCAAAATTGTAACTCGGGCGGAGGATGTTGGGAAGTGGCAGTTGCTTGAAATTAATAAAGTGCGCTTAAAACTTAGTTGCGTCCCGTCTTCTGTTGTGCGTTTACAAACGTCATGCCGCAAAGCTGCTAAATAAATGAACGATTTTTAAATACACTGAAAACAAAGTATAGTTCTTTGAATGGAGTTGTCTGCTTAGGTATCAGAGGTACTAAAGAATCTGTGAAAAAGTCACTGAATGCGTGTAAAATGGAGCTGTGGGCTTTTGTTAAGTTGCCACTCTGCTGATTTTGGAAGCCCTGTGAGTGCCGGAGAATTCACGTGGATTTCACTTTGATTTTCCCCGTGCCTGTTTTTATCTTTTGCAGGGAGGTACTAGCCTGTGTGAGTTAGGGGATGAAGGAATTACGTTGTATTACAGCGAAGGGAAGCCAGATGTATTTATAGATTATAAGAAAAAACTGGAGGCTGGTCAAATGGGAGAAGCGGCATGGTAAACTGGGGTGGAGCGCGTCTTTTCATTTCTTAACTTGTGAATTATGTATCAAATTATTAATCTAAGTAAATTCATTATACTCTTTGTGTGGGTACAGAAGCAAAACTACAAAACACGTCTCCTAGACTTTCACATCTTAAAATACTTAAATAACCAAAAGTTAATTTAAACTTGTGACAAATAATTCTTTTCTCTAAATGAAAAACTGGGCTCTTCCTCCCATGATGCACCTTTTGAATGCTTCATTGTCTCAATTATTTCCTCATAAACACTGGTTTTGATGATTGTGGCCCAGATCTTTCTATAACGTAGGTATGAGCTAATTATTCACAGAATAGCGAAAACACAGGGAGAATATTTACAAAGATTCAGTGTTCAGTTTAAGTTAAGGAGAAATAATGTAAAGCTACTTCTGGGCAGGTAGAAATAAATAGGTCCTGACCCGGAAAGTAGATACTGACACAGTCACCGTCTGCTTTATAACTGTTCATGGTTCAGCCTCAAAAGCGCTGCTTTTCACCTGAGAATGCGACACCTGTGGCTTTGTGTTCTTGCAAAAAACCGAGGAGGGGTAACTGAGGACGACTACAGTACACGCTATTAAGGGAGTGGGACGGATAGTTGCTATCAAGAACGATAAGGAAAGAAAACCTGTATGGCTTTAGAAAGAAACATGGAGTTGGTAAAGGAGGTTACTGGGCACAAGAAGGCATCTGCAGCCACCCGGGAGCGAAGAAAACTCTTTCTGCCCTGCCAGCAGCCACGCGCGCGAGGTGCCGCATGTTTGTGGGGGGCTGCTTCTCCCCAGGGGCTCCCATTAGGAGCAAGGACAGAATGCCCGCACCTGCAGCACGTGGTGCCCCCAGACCAAGCCGCCTCTCTGCGCTCACACGGGGCAAGCCACTCCTCCTCCTCAGAAAAGAAAGCACTCTGGCTTCCAGTAACCTGTCAAAACCCCTAATCCTGTCCTGTTACAGGAAAAGGATCTTCTCGCGGACTGTTAGGTAAACCGCCTCTTTGACATGTCCTACGAGTCTTTGAAAGCCTGTTTACACCTGCA